GGTGGCATTGGTCATAACGTACGAACCTGTCAGAATGCTACTGGAGGGTCTAAATAATCCATTTCTAATGTAATTATCGTAGTTGTTTCATTTCGTGGTGGTTAATTGAACATCTTGCGCGTGCTGTGGTGAAAAGTGGTCCACTCGCTGATATGGTCCACTCGCTGATAACGCACGTTAATGCTAATGCTATTTATTACGCCCGGAGGGAGTCCCCTAGAGGGCCACTGCGCTAGCTATTTACGGTTCAGTACATTGTTGCATGTCTCCTCAAGCCCCACAGTTGTCGCTCTTTCGGTGCCAGCCTTTCCAATATGTCCGTGACAGGCCTACTTGAAGGCCAATTTCTCCAAGTGTTCAGCGTCCTATCCTCAGCAGCTGAAGCACGGTCTGCCAAGTATGAGGCTGTTGAATGTTAGTATAGTCTCATCCCCTTGCTTACTATGTGTCCGCCCGCTGTGCCAAGTCGAGCCGTTTTGTTGCCATCGCAAATTGGATTGCCGCACGCACTGCCTTCATGTCTGGTCTCCATCTGTCGCCGTCTGACGCCGCTTTGCCTCCCAGGAAGAAAGACAGATTACCCATTTTCGTCCTTGAATACTGGAACATGATCTCCCGCTGTGTTGTCCACTTCTTGCACCGAAACAGAAAGTGATCAATCGTCTCTGCCACTTGTCCACAGTCGCACATGTCCGACTCCGCTACCCCTATCTTGTGCAGATAGCCGTTCAGGGCTGACATGCCCGTGCGAAGCTGCGGCAGCACCTTCGCCTCCCTTTTCGTCAACGTGTCGTAGAGCGCTCGAGTGTGGCCGCCCGGAAGTGCATTGTCCATGCGCTTGGAGTATTTTCCCACACCTTCCGGTAGTTGATCAAATTTGCACTGATGAGCGAGTGCCAGTCGTAGCGTTGTGGACCTTGCTCGGTACTGTGGTGTATCTGCCACACATCCTTCCTGTGTTGCTCTCTGCGCTGCGGCCTTGGCTAAGATGCCTAGCCGAAAGTCATCATCCTTCGCTGGCACCCACAAGAAGGTGACGCCGCACCCCCGGCCCCGGAGACACTCAATGCGATCGTATATTTGTCGGACAGTACGCTGTCCAGATTGTTGACGCGGCCTTCGGATGACTTGCAATGCTGAACGGTTGCTTGTCACGATCGTCAACTCTCGCCGATACAGACCGGCAGGCATGCATTTCAGCGCCATCGCTATCGCCGCCAGCTCCGCCGTGTATGGGTTCTGCTCGTCTCTAGGCCCGAGAGTGACTGAGTAGCTGGCCAGCACTTCGCCCGGGCTGTTTCGAGTTGAACCGTTCACCACGCCTCCCATCCCAACTATTCCGCCCCTTTGCGAGCTGGATGTAGCTATGATGATTCCCTCCAGCTCGTTAGGCGTCACCATCTCCACCTGGTCAGGCTCGCCCACCACCTGGATGCGATCGCTCCATGGTGCCAGGGCGTATTCATGAATGACTTCCACCCGGTCCAGATCCAGGTCCACCTCTGCCAGCATTGATGCGATCTTTTGCATTGGCGATGCAAATCTCCTGCGTATCTTAATTGTAAGCCTTCCCAGTGGGTGGGTTCTCGGCAGAGTTCGAAGCGTGATGCACAGCCTCGTGGCGGCTTGTCGATGCCTTTCCCGTACTGGTTGAATACTGGCCTCGGCTTCGGCCACTGCCGTCGCCACCGTCCGGAACGTTCCGGTGATGGCCTGCGCTCCCACTCTCTGCGCCCTGTCCAACCATGCCGCTTCCTTCAAGCCGCACGCGTGCGACCAAACATTGGAGGCGTAGTCCACTGTTGGTGCCACCGTCGCCACGAACAGCTGTCGTGCCATCCGCGGAGAGGCCATCCTCAACCGTCGTAGGTCCATTGCGGCGGACAATCCCTTGGCCGCGGCTCTGGCTATGTGCTCCTTGTACCGCAGCCCGGAATCCATGATCACTCCCAGAATTTTGGCACTGCTCGTCGGTTTGACTTCTTGTCCTTTGATCGTGTATGCCGTCTCACTGTTACGCTCGGCCATTCGTGTGAAGTGGATGATGGTCGTCTTGTCCGCCTCAAACGTTGCACCACTGCGTTTCTCCCACTCGAGCGCATTGTTGATTATTGACTCGAGGCCCGCCCGGTTTGCCTCTGCAGTCGGCCCCGTCACCCAGGCCGAGTAATCGTCAACGAAGGCGACCGAGCCACCCGCCGTGCTGATCTTTCTCTGCACCAGGTCGGCGTTGAAAAAGAGAAACAGAACGGGTGACAGCGGTGAGCCCTGTGGAAGCCCTGCTTGCGGCAGCTCCTGTCTGTCTGATGCCTGTCCGTTCACCACGATGGATGCTG